AGAGAGCGGGTGGGGTGGGGGAAAGAGATTGAGATCTAGATTTAGGGAGTGAGCGTGGGAGGAGAGATGGTGGGGGAGAAGCGAAGCGGAGAGGCGGAGAGAGGAATGAGCTCATTTATAATTTCTAACATGAAACATAGTTCCTCTTAATGGGGTCACCAGTCTCAATAATCGTGCTTCCCTGAAATTCTTTTAAAATGTACTTTCTGGTTTTGATTTCCCTTTGTATGTAGTTCAGAACAAATTTTGGAACTTCAAAAATGAGACTGTATACACAGTTTTAACCCAGTTCTTTCCTTTCACAGTTAATGTGCTGAAACTCAGGGGGGTTGGTGATTTGCTCAGGGACACAGCAGAAATGTCAATTTAAAATTTGGGCTTATGACTTCTAGTCCAGCGTTCATTTGCATTAGATCCTTCTACTGCATTATGCTTCTTCAAGCAATGAGTTGTTGACTATGAAACTTGAAGAAGTCATATGAAACCTTGGTTTATACTTCAAGAAGTTAACATGGTTTCTCCCTACTTAAACATATCCAAGATTGCAACAATTCAAACACATAGACAGATTAACTAGTAATGACATTACAAGCAATTATTACTTTCCATTTTGCATGTCACAGACTTAAATAGCTCTTTGGGTATACTACATGCAATTTTAGTATAAAATAATGTTTTATTCAGAACTTTCTAGAATTCACYTATATACGAAAATCAAACCCCTCAAAAAGTGTCCTTTGAAAAATCTAATGAAAGCTCTAACCCCGGGGGACAGCATAGTAATGTAGGAAGTGTGAGCCCAGAGATCTATGTTCACTCTGTGCTAGCACAGACAGACATACAAGGTGGGGGTGTTCACAAGCTTTGGTGCTGTGTTAAAACAGTCACTGCAAAGTGAACTCTCTCACCTGACATATCTCCTTCTTCTCCCTCTCCCATTGAATGAGATTCCTGCAGGAGGATCAAGATGTCCTTGGAGAAAGCCTACAGTGCTAGAGTTTATGTTCATGACCCTCCATCTTCCCTTGAAGCACACTGTTGGTGAACTAGGTCTCACATCCACACCACTCAGACATTTGTTTTTAGTGGTGTTGATATGGAGGACAAAGATTATTTTTAGAAATTCTAATAATGGAATTTGTTTCACTTAAGCACTTAGTAAATGTCATAATCTCCTTCAAAAAAAAAAATTGAAAGCTAAATCTTAAACAACCGCTTACCAAAACATTTTTTTCCCCTCCCTCAACTGAATGTAGAGTATTAGGTTTCTGGACATAAAATTCTATTTATAAACTTTCCAAGTTGTGGAAATATTAACTGTTGCTTTGGGCTTCCAGTGTTTTCTCAACTTTGTCCGTCGACTACTTTGGTGTCTGGGGACTCTTTTACAGAACTTATGCAAGTTCCTACTGTGTTTTTTCCCTTTTTGCTGAATCATATTTGCTAATATTATAAACAACTGCTTAGCTTTATCTCTATTCCAGCTTAACAAGCTAAACAAAAATCTCATTCATTACAATGTGTTGAAGTGGGATTTTTATGGTTCACCTAAAATTGTTTGCAAGGATCTGGCAATATATTATTCTTGTCCATGCTACTCTTTCTTTTGAGTCAAAATTTATTACACCTCTGGGGACAAATTTTAATGCTATTTTTTTGGCATGTTTCTAGATTTAACTTTTGGCCTACAGATTTATTAAATTTTTTTTTGGTTAGCTTATACATTTCAGAAACAGAATTTGGATTATTTTTTGATCTAACATATAATAGTAATTCTAGTATTTGTTGCATGGTCTCAGGAGGCTTACTTAGAATTTCTTTTTTTTTTTAATCAGGCAAATTATATTTCAAATGTATTGAATCTAAAAAAGGATTTGCCAGACTGATGGTAAAGATTAAAAGGATTGTTTTCTTTCCTTTTTTTTTCACTGAAATGAGTGAAAAATAATTGTACTAAAGAGTAGCTGAATTTTAAAGGTAATCATTTTGTGTTCATCCCATCAGAGAGAATGTTATTTATATTGATCCCAACTTTCCTTCTGTAATTCCCCTTGAATTTGTTTTTCTTTCTTTTGAAGAAATTTGAAGAACTCTTTTGTTAACTTTATTCTTCCTCCTTCCCTCCCRTTTCCTATCTTAAGTTTGAAAACTACCTAGACCTTAGTAAGTACATTGAATCTATAATACTTTAGAAGATTCAGAGTAATCTTTACTTAAAAATTGGAATAGTCCATAAATGTATAATTAGATAATTTTGGAAGACTGTTTTGTTTTTGTTTGTTTTCTAACACTTGAAAAAGTCTGACTTCATGAATTGAATGTTGTATGGAGTATGTTACTGGAATTCTGCAAATACCACTTATATAATCTGTCTTAAAAGTTAGTATGGAAATTGCTCAGGATTATTTGTAGGCATTGACCTCCTATTTATACATCTTGGTAAAACAACACACTTTTTTTTTTAAACACAAAGATACTAATATTTTGTATTGCACCAATTAATGATGTTTGGTATATTGATTTTGCTACCTTCTAGAGAGTTCTTTATATAACTTGAGTAAAATAGTTTCTTCTTTAAGGACTAATTTTTTATATACAGCAGCTATGTCACACTAGTATGTAATTAATTCTCTGTCAACATACATATTATTTATTTGGATGTATTTTTGCAAGCAAAATATTTGTCTCCACAGCAAAAAGTACTTCAGTGTGATGCCCTTTTGGAAAAATGAAAACGTGCAGGCTACATGGCTGAAATGTTTCCTTTTTAACCTATATGAGTATTAAATTTTATTTCTAGTTTAGTTTAAATGTGTTCACCAGGAGCACTTCAGTTTGCAAAAAAAAAATATTTTAGCTGGTCAAAATAAATTAAATATTAAAAAGAAAAGAGTCCTTTTGATTTAAAGGTAATTTTAAGATGTACTGAAGGATTTTATACCAAACTAAGAGACTGAATGCTTCCACTGCACTAAATAACTATCAATCACATGGACAAGCTAAGCAGACTTATTTCAAAAGATGTTCTGTGTTGATTCATTTAATCCTATAAATTCAAAAGTTTCATATACTGAAATGTTTATAATTATTAACTATATTTAGATAAATTTAAACAAAATGTAATAGCATATTAGTGTCCCTCTGAAACTTTCTTTTACATTTTTTCATAGCAATCAAAATTTGATATCTGGTTGTAGACAAGAACAAGGGCAGCAGAAGACCAATGTTCTCCTACCAGTTTGTGCTTTGAATGTATGATGGTAATGAACTGAACTTACCAACTTATAATACAATTTTCATTTTATTTTAAACATATTTTTGTATGTTATAAAAATATTGATCACAGTGAGCTTTACCAATTGTTATTGCTATAAAAATGAATGCAGAAACAATATTTTTAGTGGAAATAAATTATATAGTCATTCTTTTTTCTTTCTTTCTTTTTTTTTTTAATCACAAGAGAAGAACCTCAGGTGTTTGGTCATTGGCAGAAAACCAGTCTTTGAAAGAGGCACTTTACAGGTGAGCTCCAGTCTATTTCCGTGAAGTTATCCACATGGTTCAGGAACACAGACTTCTGTCTTTGTCACCCCTGCCCCATAGGGTCTCTCTGTTCATAGACAGTTCTAATGTGAAGACAGTTTTTCATGATAGAAAAATGATGAGCTGGAAAACAGGACAGTCTTAGTTTATATGTGATCTTTTCCAATATGAAGGGACACAGCGACACACTTCTTCACTAAATGACAATCCCTGCTCACAGTGTTTCAGTCGGTTGCATGGCCTTCTGTAACAACTAGGAAAACAAAAAGGAAAACATTCATCAAAGACTGAGGCAATGAGTTCATTATGCTACTAATGTACTAAATTATTTTTGACTAAGTTTTCTAAATTTAAACAAGAAAAGAAAATCTTACTATTTTTTTTCAAAAAGTCATTCATAGGTTGACAAATGTTTAAGTTTGTGCTTGTAATCACAAAATTTTAGAGGAATGGAAAAGCCTTTAAAAACATGTCTTGTTGGCTGATGTAATAAATGGAAGGATGGGATATTGTAAGCATTAGTTCTTTTGAAGTGCCTTCTGCTTTGTGGATGAAAGTAACATAAGACAGAAATTATGAAAGTGAATATTTAAGGTCTGCTGATTTACTGTGATCATATAAGCATAGCAGAATTCACAAAAGTCTGGGACATGTATGGGACCCAGACTTCCAGGCAATTAAACCCAGCCATCTTGGCAGAACTGAGGTCCTCAATGAGCAGCCCACCCTCACTCTTCTGTTTCTACTTGGCAGCTGGCTGCATGATGGTGGTTAATTCTCCTTTCTCCTCCTGGGCTCCATGTGAAACAGATTAGAGAGGAAATACTGACCGTTGGGGGTCTCTCTTTTTCCAGCCTAGATTTCCAAATTCTAGTGGTGGTGAAAGAACAAATTACCAATCTGTCAATCTGCTGGCAGCCCTGCTGCTCAAATAAACTGCACTGTCTTTGAAGAACTTTTTGGAATAAGAGTATGCCTAATACGTGGAATGGGTACATAGGAAAAAAATGCAAGACAACTTGAGGTGGAAATCAAAAAGGCACTCTAAGAATATGTAGACACTTAATACTGAATTGTGTCTCTTTTGTTGTAGGAAAGAAAGCATATCTAGTTAACATTTTAAAACACTTCTAAAACCTAAATTCATAATCATAAAATCACTGATATTCTTTTACTACAAAGTGATGCAATTCTCAATGACTAGTGAWTTTTGCTGATTAAAGCTGTAGATGAAAGAAAACATGCTCTGCCCTCCACACTTTTGGAATGCATATGCTCCATTTGCTACCACAAAATCTGGAACGGTACCCTTAGAAAGAAAAATGAGCATATGAAATAGTTGCAGTAAATAGAAAGTCATCAGAAAGGATGCATCCTATTTAGAGAAATATGATGATAGAAATCTTTTCTACAAAATTAATATAAGAAATCTGCAGGAAAATATGATTGCTGGTTTTATAGACATAAAAACTGTAGTTTTTTTTTCAATATGTACTAGACCCACTTAAGAAGGATTCAATATAAAATATAGTTTAATAAGGTTAAAAAAGTCTTAGTATCTATATTCTTCTAGGATAGTAGTGTAATTTCAAAATCTCTTTCTGGTAATTAAAGTAGAAATATGAAAGTAAAATTGGAACATAATTATTGCTTAAGATAGTCTAAAGTGCCTTATAAAAGCCCCATAAGGCAGTTTGGAACAATAAGAAAAGGAAAAATATGATCAGTGAGATACATAGATTCATTGATACCTTTTATTACTGTAACTAAAATGCTGGGGTAGACAGATCTTCAGAAATGTAAATTAAAATGAGAGCACAAAACTCTTTTATCTGTTGAAAAGGCCATTATCAACCCATATTTAAAGAATGAATAGAAAAAAAAAAGAATCCAGTGAAAGCAATTAAAACAAATGGTCTGAAAATGTAGTGGACAACCAGGAAAGCACAAACCACATGCCAGACAAAGAGGTGAGCTTAAGAAAGAAGTAACAGAAAGGCCGACTACAGAAAGACAAAATTATCCACTGGATCTGGCAACTAACAGGCTACTGGTGGCTTAAACATAACCTGAACACAGAGGGCGTTAATCAGACTGAATAAATGGGAGATGAAAGTGGTGAAAGCCAGGGCCACATGCTTAGCTTCTGAGAAGAGCTGAAGCATGCTCAGCATGGCTATAAGATGCTGGTAAAATAGAAGGAACTGCAGAAGTTTCACAAACGAGGGAAAAGGAAGATAGAGTTGAAGATATTAACATATGGAAGCAAGGAGGCAGGACTAACATGGCAAAGCTGAAGGAATTTGGGAGAAAATGTCAAAAGTCTCAAGCCTGTTTTAAACAGCAGTTCACCATGTTCTCTGAGACTCAAGAAGAATAAATTCATAGATTAACATTGTAAGTCCTTGAGTGCAGTAAGCTCATTTATTTCTTGATGAAGAAGAAAACAAAACCAAGGCTTAAGAAATGAGTCTTGAGTAACCATTAATAATATATTAATTCATTTCTCAAATTCTGTTAAATACTTAGTGTAAATATTTTCATTTCTGGATAAAATTCTACCCTAGATGGTACCATCATATCCCTTATGTGTAAGTTGTTTTCTTTTTCTTTCTTTCTTTTTATTTTTTACTTTTTGGTACTTAAGTGACATATCTTTTTTAAGAAGACTTTTTTATTAGTGCATTATAGTTATGCACATTAGTGGACGTTGTAATTACATACTCATACATGCACACAACATAATTTACATCAAAACTGTACCTAAAACAGTTTGTTCTAAATTACATCTTAAAGATTTCATAATTTCTGGCAGGGGCAGGTCTGGATGGCCCAGTTACATTTTTTAAAAATACTACACAAGTCCTCTGACTCATGTTAAACAACACTACCTTAGCCTCTGGGGCAAGGATTTAGTATATTCTGAGCTTGGATCTGCTTTTGGTCTCCAACATAATGGTCTTCCTTTTTTGGGAGCAAAGTCGGTCCTATGAAAGTTTAGCATTGGATAAAAAATATTTTTATTTTATTTTTAGTTGTAACTCTGCCAATATGWCTACCTAGAGGCCTGTTACCATTTCTGTCTTCAGTGAAACTTTTGTCGCCAATAAAGAATTACATTTTTTTAACAGATTGAGTTGCTGTCCTGTATTCCTGGTTATCAAAAATAGTCATGTAGCTTTGGGATTTTGAATTGGTGAATATTCATGACATGTGGAAAAGCATCATACACACACTATGATCTCAATCACACAAAATGGGATGTTGTATCTGTCTACACAGGACCTGGAGGGATATGTCCAACTAAGCTGCTTTTGACTAGATAACTTTGTTCTTTGCTTGTGTTTTTATTTTTCCTGTAATGCACACATTAACTTAAAAAAAATCTATCTAAACATTTTTTTAAAAATCATAATTTGTTTCTCTCCTTGTTTTTTCTTCCAATGAATTACAGTAGATGGGATAGAGAGAGAAGATGGGAGGGGAGGGGAGGGGGGATAGTAGAGGATAGGAAAAGTAGCAGAATACAAAAGTTACTAATAGGGCATTATGTAAAAAGGTGAATTTGTAACTGATGTGATTCTGCAATCTGTATTTGGGGTAAAAATGGGAGTTCATAACTCACTTGAAACTAATGTCTGAAATATGATATGTCAAGAGCCGTGTAAGGTTTTGAACAACCAATAAAAAAAAAATCATAATTTGTCTTCCAGACCTTATTGGCTTCATTCTTATAAACAAGTGCTAGTTTGGTAAGGAAAGGTGCTCTTGGTTGAGAACATGTTTCTAGTTAAGAGGAATTCATGCTGTTTATGAAGATCTCTTACCTGCACGTCTGATGTTGGAACTTCTTTCCTTTTAAGAGGCATTTCTGGGGATTTTCTGTACATTCACAGGCACATTTTCCAGGATTTAGGGGTTGATTTCTTGGGCAGGTTCTTTTACATACACACTGGCATGTGTTTTCATCAAATTCTCTGTTGGCCCCACATGAGCTGGGGGAAAGTTTGTTTTTACAGATGCACTGGCAGGAGTCTCTGTCTAGTTCTTTATGGGGTCCACAGCTGGCAGGCTGAAGCCCCCCTTTGCAGACACACTGACAAGTCTCTTCATCCAGCTCCTTGTTGGGCCCACAGATGTCGTGGATTCCATCTGCTGAGTCTAGACAAACACAAGACATCTTCACTGTACCTTACTCAGTTCTGGGTGTGATGTGAAACAAGTGTATTTAAAAACATTTTCCTTTTATGGTTTTCATTAAAGGAATGTMCACAAACATGGGCATGTTCCTTTACAAAGAAGCTAAAAATAATACTAATATGAAGTAGGAAGTGTCTTGTTTCATAGTCTCTTATTTCAAAGAATGATGATCTGAATATTGTACATGAGGTTTTAATACTAAAATGTGTTAATCAAAATATAGACCATATATGCACCAAAATAAGATTCTACTTACCATCTCCAGAATTTGAGGAAAAAATGAAATCTTGCTGAGCCAGGCATCTACAGATGTGATTATTCCATATATAATTTGTGGGGCAAGTCTTGTTGGTTGCTTGACACCTTTGGAAGAAAGAGGTAAGGGTAAGCAATAATCTAACCAGCTCATTGAAAGGATTATTGTATCTTTCTCACATATGTATTGTTAATCAATGCATGCTTATTAAAAAATCTTTAAAATACATAAGAATATATAAAATGAAATTTGAATGTTTTCTCTCAAAAACTACCCCTAATGACATCTACTGTCAAATTCTAATACCAAAGGTGCTCATTGTTAGTTATGTAGTCTTAAATGCTTCCAAACTTTTATCTTTTTAAGACAGATATATTTATTTGCATAATCACACAGTACTTTGGATTCTGAAAAAGCATGATAAAACCTTTTATATCATTCTGAATTCTCCCTTTTGTCCCACTAAACAATATGAAGTGGACATCTTTATATCATTTCGTAAAGTCTTCTCCATTACTTTTAGTGGCTGCATAATAATCCATAAATAGGCTGTACTGTTATTCATTTAATTAATTTCTTAGGATAACTATTTAAGTTATTTCCAGTTTGGGGCAATCTCAATGCTGCAGGATGTAATACCCACACCCATACTTGCTTACTGATTTACTTCTGAAGCAGAGATCTCCATGGGTGTAAAATTTCCCTTAATGCAAAACTTCAACTCTATATTTCCACCAAAAAAGTATCCATGTTCATGTTTTGCTTTGTCATTGTTGTCCTGGTCCTCTGCTTCCTTCTCTCTTCCTTTTGTCCTACTCTTCCACCCACCTGCCCACCTGCCTGCCTGCCTTCCTTCCTTCCTTTCTCCCATCTTCCTTCCTTCTCTCTTATCTTACTTCTTTGTTTTAATAAAAGTAGGAACATGAGGGCTTCAACCAAGTACACCAGTCACTCCTTTGATGTTCCAGCTGTCCCACTGTTGGCTCATTGGGACCTCTGCAGGTTGGTGCCTGTACGACGTGAGCCCTTCAGTTCCACAGGTCTGCTCTCTGGGATGAACAGATATTACAAGCTCATCTCACTTATTTTTCCCCCATCCCTGTAATCAACCATTCCTTCAAGGATCTCTTATTATTTTTTCTTTGGAAAATAGCATTTAGAGGCTATCCTTTGTGATTGGGTGTGTCCAGTGCCATCAGATGACGTTACTTTTAGATCTTTTCAGGGAGGCAGAGCTAGAAAATGCAGGTATGCTTCCAGAATGTTTCCCAAGTTAATGTTTATGCATTAGAAGGATTCTTGGCTTTTAGTATTCTAACTTCAGAGTATATACAAACTTCTAACTACATTGTCATGAACGTTGGTGTAGATACCAAGTGGAAACACTTATTTATCCTCTTGAATCTTTCATCTCAATACAAAGTCATAAACAACATGATGTCATGGGAGAATGTTGAGTTGCCCTGCAAGTTGGCAGAACACAAGGTCACATGTAGACCTCTTACAAAGTGCACCGAGTGTAAACAAGCACACTACATGCTTTGGATGTTGCTAGGAAAATGTGCACAGAGTCAGATTCCATGTGATTATACGCCTTTCGAAAATAGATATCTCTTACAGCACAATACAAAGTAATTTTTGACAGAACTACTAAGCCAATCTGCCTTGTGTAACCTTGTCTTCCTTCTGTTTGAACACCACCTCTGAGGGTTTATCAAAGTTTTATTGTTCATCAGTCTCTACAGCAGCTCTAAGACACACAGAATCTCCATTCATTCCTCTCAATTTCTCTTTGCCTAAAACTGTCCCTTTGTCCTTCCTGCACACGGTCATGGTCACCTACAACAAATGGCAATTGCTACTTTAATCCTCACTGCCTACTCCCTTCTTCACTTTCGTCAAGAGACATGTCTCCTTTGGTTTGGTAGTCTATAAGAGGGTGTTTTCTTGAATTTATTTTCTATGTGGTCTTTGCCACACTACATCATAAATAGCTTCTCATATGGCATTCAAACAACATAAGTAACTACCTACAAAGCAACTGTGTTTTAGTAACAGTCATAATTGCTGGGTGACTAGGAAACAACGTTTAAATATTTTAGATCCTACTGTGATAGTTTGTTACTTTTCCATAGATATCATTGTTTTTGTTGCTTAATAGAAAATCAGTGCTGTTTGGAGTTAACTTACAATTTATTATAATTTTCCCATTTAAAATGATAATAAATGTACTTGCAATGCATGTTTTTGGGAACAGATTATTGATTTTAAGCAAGAGAGTTTTATTCATATTTTTTGGGGGGAGGGAGAAAAGAGCTCATTTTGTTATTTCTAAGTCAGATTCAATATGACTGGTATTTTAACTGTATTCCTTTTACTGATAAGTTCCATATAAATTCTGATTTATAACAATTGTCATATAAACATGTTTTCCATATCATGCATATATTATTATTTTGTCTTTGATTTTAATTTCAAAACTGTAAGATATTTATGTGATTTCAGAGTTAAGACTATGAGAGAATATATACTGAGAAAAGTTCATATGCTCCATATCCCAAGCATGGGTTCCTTTGTCTTCACTATTTCTTTTTGAATAAGAAAATACAGTATGGATATATGTGTATTTTTGTCATTTTGTTACATATAACATGATATTATGCATCTATTATTTTAAATCAATCTCTCTCTTTTTACGTAACATTTCCTGGAGAATATTATACCTTCTTAAAAAATTCAGGTAGGAGCTGGAGGTTGTGGTCAGTGGTAGAGTGCTCACCTAGCATGTGTGAGGCACTGGGTTTCATCCTCAGCACCACATAAAAATAAATAAAATAAAGGTATTGTGTCCATCTACAACTAATAATAAATAAATAAATAAATAAATAAATAAATAAATAAATAAATAAATAGAATTTTCAGGTAATCCCAAGGGCAAGTGTCTATTGATTACAGGATTTTGCCTTTATTTTCTGGTTTAATTGTGAACATATATTGTTTCAAATAAATTTACAAATACTTATCACTTTCCAAATGCAATGTCCACAGTTTAATATGTATATTCTTTATCATCCTTCCATCAAATATGAAGCAATTTACAATTAGTTTTATAACAGTAATTCAATGAATTCTGGTGGCAAAAAAAGGTCCTTTAATTTTCCTATAGATGGTGGTAAAACAATTTTGGCCATATTGCCTCGGTGTTGACCTCTACATGGCTTAAATAACACACTGCTGCACTGGCTTTGGGTGGGCACAATATTATGGTGGTGGCAGTAGCAAGACATTATTCATTTTGCCAATGCTTAATTTTATTGCCATTGCCTGAGGCAGTGTTTTTCAGTTGTTGGTTGTAACCCATTTAGTGGATCATGAAATCAATTACATGAGTTGGGAAATACATTTTTATTGTAATAGAATAACATATAATAAAACTCAAGCTACTAGATTTTATGTGGTAAAGAATTCTCTGAAATTTTTTTCAATTATACATAAACACACACAAATATGCATTGTAAACACTACATACACACCCTCCCTGTCTTCCACATGTTGTGCATGTGTATTTGGGCAAGATCAGGTCCACTTATTTTTTAATTGTAGTCTTGAAAATTGAGAAAACACAGATCTAAGCTATTCAAATGACAAAAAAGTGACGAAGATCATCTCAGTTGTTAGCCTATGTGATACTAGTGAATAATGAGATCCTCTACTTCAGGAATATTTATTAATATTCCTGAGTTTAAATATGCATAATTTTTTTTCCTAAATAATATTGAAAATAAAACAACTTCCTGACTCATACACAGGAACAAATACCAAATTTCAACATCTTCAATAGCATAAATTCAAAAGCAAGAACTTTGCGTGTAGAAACAAATATAGGAATCTAATTCTAGAAATGTTATACTAACCAGCAAGATATCTAGTTTTATGGTATTAGATAATGATTTCATGGGGTTATACTAGCTCTTTTGTCTTTGCATGTTCATGATGAATAGAAATACAGACCTCAGAGCAACACTTTCAATTATTACTCAAACGTTTTTGGCAACACAAACTTTACATTACCACCTAATTATAGTTTGCTCAAAGGGAAATAAATATTTTAGTCACTAATAGACTTAAAACTTAATTTGAATTTCTAGAAAAGTATGACTCTAGTGGCTTTGCCAAAAATGGGAAACTATTGCTCATCAATATTAAAACATTTTAATGTTGAAATTGGAAACCCTGCTGAATTCTATTGAATTAAAGAAACATGTATTTATGTAGAATACATTTTCATAATTTCTAAATGAAGCTCTCTGCTTCAAGAGTAGCAAGTTATTAGCATTTATGCTTCTCATGTTAAAAAAAGGGAGTCAAAATTTCTAAAATATTGCTTTTTCAAAATGAAAGGAAATGTTTTCATGGTGGGTAGAAGGTTTAGCACAATGTGCTTATCGCTTGTGTCCTTTAATCTCCAAAGAATTCTCATGCTATTGAAATTTCTATTCAGAAGAAATTATTTATATGTTTATACATATCAACATTTTTTATAAATAAGTTGCTTTATACATCATATTTATAAAAGTATACTGACTCAAAGATGCATTTTTGTTTGCAAAGCAAAGGGTTGCACAACTATTTGCTAAGTAGATCTATGCTGAAAATCATGTTAACAAATAAACTTTTGTATTTCTTCCCTCTGAAACATGATTGTGATTTTTATGAAGGATAAGTTACTATTAGAAGACTTATCTCAGTAATTATCTCAAAACTTTATTCAACTTTGGTTTGGTAGCTACTGATTTTGCTGATTAAAATCAGAGGACAAGAATTTAAGGGTATATGTATTTCTCAACATGGAGAACAATGCATTCAATAATAAAGTCAATCTTATTTTGCCATTTATCTCTCTTTTGTTAGATCATTTTCTAAATGTTGGATAATAATTGCTAGTGTTTATCCTTTGAACCTTGCAGTAGACTATTTCTTGCATGATATTTTTATGACTTTCATATTCTCTACTTTTGTCACTGGGGTTTTTAGATACTTGGATTCTCTGGCTCCCCAAATCCACATCTAAGGAATAAAAACACACTACCACCTTTTGATTGGCACT